AATAAAGGAGAGAGACAGAGAGGAACAATCAGATTCATATTTGGGGATACAAATTTGTCACAAATGCAGATGTATTACACCTACTTTGATTACAAGTTTGTTCTCCCTCTTCTAGTCCTGCCTTCATTCTCAAGATGTGAACGTACTTTTTCTCCCTCATCACGACCTCTGTGTTTCAAGTCTCCTAAAGACACCTTGTAATTATACCCCCAACAATTTCAGTGACCATGAATCATCACACATACACTGTATCAGCAGCATCTTTTTCTGGCTATTTTTCTCTCCTTTCATTTACCTTACTTGATTCTAATCAAACATCTCCAAGTGCATTAAGTACATTTTTCAGTGTTCTCTCTAATTCTTTCCCCAACCACTTACAGTCTGTCTGGCTCTTATCTACTTCTCTTTACCAAAACAACTGTTGGTTTGGTCAAATTCATGGATTAAAGAAAAAAAATCCATGGACTTTGACACTATCGCTTACTTTCTTTCTTAACTTTCTGTTATGATTAACATTCAACATATTGCCATTTGTCTGGTGTTTTTGACTTTCTGGATTTTACTGTATTAATATCTGTGATAATTTTTCTTTCTATACCACTTGTTTCTTTTAAATTATAACCATGGTTCTCTACTCTCCTTTCTTTCTTAAAAGGATTTAAAAATTGTGTGTGTGTGTGTGTGGGTTAGTTGCTCAGTCATGTCTGACTCTTTGCGACCCCATGGTCTGTAACCCACCAGGCTCCTCTGTCCATGGGATTCTCCAGGCAAGAATACTGGAGTGGGCTGCCATTTCCTTCTCCAATTTAAAAATTAGATCCCATTTTTGTAAGTCTTTTTTTCCCCCTGCACTAAGGATTGAACCTGAGCGCTCTGCAGTGGAAGTGTGGGGTCTTAACCACTGACCGCCAGGGAAATCCCTGTAAATATTGAATACTGAAACTCCTTCCTGTCCTTTGAATGCTCGGAAGTACATTGTATGGATTCAAGAACATTTTGACAGACTGTTTATGAATCAATAGCAGCAAGGTGCAAATCACACTTCTCACACTTTTTGGAATATTATTTCCTTCAGGTTTCTCTTGTGAGCCAAAGATAACAGGAAGCAGAGTCAATGTTGTTGGGAACGCTGACTTTTCTTTGCAGATTCAACCCATGTATTTTCTATTTTCAATCTGTACTTGTATCTTACTTGCCATTATAATTTGTAAACTCACTGAGCAGGAAATAACTGTTGATCTTTCAATACAAAATAACCCTGACCACATGGTTATTAATGGTAACATGTTTTAAATGGCCTTGGTTTTAAAATCAATAGTGTTAAACAACATTTGAGCTTTTTACTTTTTCTTATTCTTGGCTTGCAGGTTTTATTCTGGATCCTCTTATTAGGTGATTCTCATGTGAGAATGAAATAATTTTATAATAGTTGATTTACAAACATTGGAAGAAAATATTTTAGCCACCAAGATTCAGGTAATTCCACCTCCCATTACAGTATAGTGGTTATTAGTGTGGCTTTGAAACCTAGTCCTATTACTTCTTTGTTTTGTTATCTTGGGCAAATATGTGAGCCTTGATTCCCATATATGAAAATTAGTGATAATTACTTTTATGGGTTTTTGTGAAGAATAAATGAAAAAATTTATATTATATGTTTGACTGCTAAGTGCTCAATAAATGGTAACTGTCATTGGTCTGAGATGATTCTGCTCATTTTCTTAGAAAGTGACTATTTTCTTAAAAAGATTTATTTCCCTATGGCTGCACTGGGTCTTTGTTGCTGCAAGTGGGCTTTCTCTAGCTGCAGTGAGTGAGGGCTACTCTCTAGTTGCTGTGTGTGGGCTTCCCGTGGCGGTGGTTTCTCTTACTGTGGAGCATGGGCTCCAGGCTCCTGGGCTTCAGAGGTTGCAGCTCACAGGTTCTAGAACACAGGCTCAGCAGTGTGGCACGTGGGCCTAGTTGCCCCGAGGGGTGTGATCCTCCCGAATCAGTGATGGGACCTGTGTCGTGCACTGGCAGGCAGATTCTTTACCACTGAGTCACCAGTGCAACAAACCGAGATCATTCTGTCCTTTTTGAGATTGCACCTAAGTCAAAATCACTGCAGATGGTGACTGCAGCCATGAAATTAAAAGACGCTTACTCCTTGGAAGGAAAGTTATGACCAACCTAGACAGCTTATTAAAAAGCAGAGACATTACTTTGCCAACAAAGGTCTGTCTAGTCAAGGTTATGGTTTTTCCAGTGGTCATGAATGGATGTGAGAGTTGGACTGTGAAGAAAGTTGAGCACCAAAAAATTAATGCTTTTGAGCTGTGGTGTTGGAGAAGACTCTTGAGAGTCCCTTGGACTGCAAGGAGATCCAACCAGTCCATCCTAAAGGAGATCAGTCCTGGGTGTTCATTGGAGGGACTGATGCTGAAGCTGAAACTCCAATACTTTGGTCACCTCATGGGAAGAGTTGACTCACTGGAAAAGACCCTGATGCTGGGAGGGATTGGGGGCAGGAGGAAAAGGGGACGACAGAGGATGAGATGGCTGGATGGTATCACCGACTCGATGGGCATGAGTTTGAGTAAACTCCGGGAGTTTGTGATGGACAGGGAGGCATGGTGTGCTGCAATTCATGGGGTCACAAAGAGTCGGACATGACTGAGTGACTGAACTGAACTGAACTGAACTGCATTTTGTACTCTTTCGTTGACTACGAGTACTACTCCATTTCTTCTAAGGGATTCTTGCCCGCAGTAGTAGACATAATGGTCATCTGAATTAAACTCGCCCAATCCGGGTGAGTCACCATAGAGAAGGCTGAGCACCAAAGAACTGATGCTTTAGTTCTAGAGAAGACTCCTGAGAGTCCCGTGGACTGCAAGGAGATCAAACCAGTCCATCCTAAAGGAAATCAATCCTGAAAATATTCATCGGAAGGACTGATGCTGAAGCTGAAGTTCCAATACTTTGGCCACCTGATGTGAAGAGCCGACCCATTAGAAAAGACCCTGATGCTGGGAAAGATTAGAAGGCAGGTGGAGAAGGGGACCACAGAGGATGAGATGGTTGGATAGTATCATTGATTCGATAGACATGAGTTTGAGCAAGCTCTGGGAGTTGGTGATGGAGAGGGAGGCCTGGTGTGCTACAGTCCATGGGGTCTCAGAGAGGCAGACACAACTGATGGACTTAAAAACACCATCACCAGGGAAGCCCCAAAAGTGACTTATCATGCCCTGTATTCACCAATACCTTGCCTATACTACAAATGTATTTTTGCTTTTTTGTGGTTTCTTTGATTTGTGATAGTTTAAATTTCTAGCAGAATATAGGATGTTAGGAGATTCCTTTAATGGATGAGAGAAACCTGGGATGTCCTTCTACAGATTTATTCCTGTAGAACTCAGGTTTGGAGATACAAAGTTATTAGAAAGTTGCTCTCACTCGAAATCTGATAAACTTGCATTTTAGGAGATGTTTATCAGTCCCATTTAAGAGGAGTTGGTTTACATATATTTTTAATGAGTATAGCAAAATCTTAAGGTACAATGACATCTTTTGAAACCTAGTCAGATAGGAGAGTAGTGACCTCTAGTTAATGTAAAGTGATAATTTGAGTTGTCTTCAGCAGGAAGTACTGGTAAGTCTTTTTCCAGTGGTCATGTATGGATGTGAGAGCTGGACTGTGAGGAAAGCTGAGCACCGAAAAATTGACGCTTTTGAACTATGGTGTTGGAGAAGACTCTTTAGAGTCCCTTGGACTGCAAGGAGATCCAACCAGTCCATCCTAAAGGAGATCAGTCCTGGGTGTTCATTGGAAGGACTGATGCTGAAGCTGAAACTCCAGTACTTTGGTCACCTCATGGGAAGAGTTGACTGATTGGAAAAGACCCTGATGCTGGGAGGGGTTGGTGGCAGGAGGAGAAGGGGATGAGAGAGGATGAGATGGCTGGATGGCATCACCGACTCGATGGGCAGGAGTTTAAGTAAACTCCGGGAGTTTGTGATGGACAGGGAGGCCTAGCGCACTGCGATTCATGGGGTCGCAAAGAGTCGGACACGACTGAGCGACTGAACTGAACTGACTGGTTAAGTCTAACAGCAGGAAGAGTTGGAAAGTCCAAGAAATAATCTTCTTGCACAGCTTTTGTTACAATTGATGCCACTTACAAAATTGCAAGTTTCTATAACAGAAAGACCTGCTTCACAAAGTACCTATGCTGAAAAAGTTGCCCCACCTCAATCGCTGTATATGCATTTAACTTTTCAGTTCTTGTGGTTTCCAAGGAATCAACAACCATCAAATGAGCTCAGGGGACTTCCCTAACAGTCCAGTGGTTAAGACCCCTGGATTCCAGGGCTGGGGGCACCGGTTTCATCCCTGGTTGCTGAACTAAGATCACACAAGATGCCCGTGGTGCAGCAAAATAAATAAATAAATGAGATTAACGTCTCTGGAAATCAAATCATTTGTCCAACCATCCAGCAATTTCAAAAAATATTGACAGCCCACTTTGAAACACTTTGCTGGGTCGAGTGTATCACAATTTTCTAAAGCTGCTGCCCTGCGTTTAGCTGGGGGAAAGGAGAAGGAAATACACACGTAAATATAATTTAACATGCGGGGTCCTATATATGTTCACAGGGTCCCCGATGAACAGCGTGGGGAGCCTAATTTTTGACACTACGGAACAAGAAGTTCAGGCGTGCCACTCATAACCCGTGTGCCTTTGCAAGACATTTCAGGACGAGCAATTGTGGCTCAGCTCGTAAAGGATCCGACCGCAATGCAGGAGACCTGGGTTCGATCCCTGGGTTGGGAAGATTCCCCTGGAGAAGGGAACGGCTACCCAGTCCAGTATCCTTGCCTGGAGAATTCCATGGCCTGTATAGTCCCTGGGGTCGCAAAGAGTCGGACACCACTGAGCGACTTTCACTGAAGGTGAGAATATTGTGGAATGCCGAACGCTAGGAAAGATTTCAGCTCCTGATAAAGGGTCACATCACGCTAGGTGTGTGAAGGTTGGATGCGTCTGCAGCGACCACTGATTCAAAAAAGGCGTCTCCCGGTCCTTTTGCGCACAAGCGGAGACCCTAGACTGGGCCCTCCCGGACGTCGGGGCTGGCTTTGCGCGCGGAATCGCAGCGCACGCCGGCGGCGGGCGGGAAACACCCGGGGGACAGCGCTCCGCTAGGCGCCCGGGCGGGCGGGCTCTTCGCGCCACGTCATCGGGCGGCTCCCCCTCCCCTCGTCCGAGTCGCACGCGCGGAAATAAACACCGCGACGTCATCAGGGCGCGTCTTCGCCTCTCCCCGCCCATCTCCCCAGGACCGGTGGACGTGCTCACCTCCGCTCGGGGCCAGGTCTATGTCCCGGTTTCCCGCCGTCGCGGGCAGGGCGCCAAGGCGGCAGGAGGAAGGTGAGCGTTCGAGAGACCTCCAGGAAGAGCGGCCTTTGGCAGGTTCCGTCGCGGATAGAGGTGCGGTCCGCGGGACTCCGCGGAGGCCAGCGGGACTGGTAGCACGGGGCTTTGGGGAGGGGGGGGGGTGGAGGGGATGAAAGTCCGCCTGAGACAGGCGGAGAAGAGGAGGCTGCAAGCTGCAGCCTTCCTGTCACCCTCCACGCCGGAGGCGAACTTTGCGTCCAGAGAGCCACTTTGGACTGGAGAGGGGCGGTCCCAGACCCAAGTTGGGCGAAAACCCTGCTGGGGGGCAAAAAAGTGCACCCCAACGCCGGGACGCGTCCTGCTCGTAAATAGGCTCAGAAAGCCTTTGTTCTCTACCCACCCGTCCCCCCTCCCGCCCCTCCGCCCCTCCGCCGGGCCGCCAGCCTGCCTTTGGGTACGGTATGAAGGGAGCCAGTTTCCAGGAGCCAGTTTCCATGGTTACCCACCACTTGGCCTTCTGGGATATCAGTCACTCTGAACGGGGACCTAACTTGAACCGTGAATCAGAAGCAAATACAGGTGGCTTTTCATTCAGCTGAGAGTTTTTCTGCCCTGTTCCAGTTTTGGGGTCTGTTATTTAATAAAATTGGGTTTTGTGCTTCTGGATAGGTATACCTGCAAATATATTGCCTTGTGCTAGGCTTACTTTGTCAGATACTTTGAGTCATGCATTAAGAAATGCTCAAGTTGATCTCACTAAAAAGTTGCTCTGAGCTTAGAAACACTCGCTCGCAAATGGGATGTAAGGGATTTCACCGAGAAGTCATGGGTTGATTCTTTCCAACCCTAAAATTCTATTGTCACTCTCTTTTTCAGTTTTGGGAAATTGAGATATCTTTACAGGCCTTTTAATTGTACATCGCACCCCCCCCCCCCCGGCCCTGTCATTACAGAAGAGAAAGGATGCACATCACAGGAGGGAGGAACTACTCCAACTTTTCCCATTCAGAAACAAAGAAAAAAGCTTATTCAAGCCGTGAAGGACAATTCATTCCTTATTGTTACTGGAAATACAGGAAGTGGTAAAACAACTCAACTCCCAAAATATCTATATGAAGCAGGTAATTTTATTCTGGGATAATATTGGGAGCATTTAAAAAAATATCCTTTTAAAAGCTAATAGGACTTCTGTATTACATAAATGCCTATCATTTGTTTTACAGTCCGATTCTTCTCTTGGCACACTGTCCTTGTATATTTCGCTTTTTTTTATAGTCTTATTTCAGATTCAGGAATTAGTTGAAATGGCATTTTCAGTTACCATAATAATTCCAAATAGAATTATAGGTAGATTCTCTGCTGTAGAGTAGGTTGTCTTGCAGTAGACTGTTGAACGTTGGGTATTGAAATGATTTTCAGGGGAAGGGATATATTGATATCTGTTCCTGACATTACTATTTCTGGGTTCTTTTTACAGAGTGATATCAGGTAACTGTCTATTCCTTGATTTTCCCAACACCAAGCCAGCTAACAAATTACCCTTACACTGTCTTTCCTTTCAATATGGTAAAACTTTATATCATTATGTTGCTAGACAGCAAAATTATGTTGGATATTAATAAAAATTTCTTAGCTTACATATTAACTTACTCTGATAAATCAGGTCTTTTAAGATGCTATCTGTTGGGTTTCCCTGGTGGCTCGGTGGTAAAGAAGCTGCCTGCCAAACAAGAGACATGGATTGGATCCCTGGTCTGGGAAGATCCCACATGCAGTGGAACAGCTAAGCCTATGCGCCACAACTATTGAACCCTTGCCCTGGAGCCCAGGAGCCGCAACTCCTGAAGCCCTCACACCCTAGAGCTTGAAACGAAAAGCCCATATACTGCAACTGGAGAGGAGTGCCTGTCACTGAAACTAGAGAAAAGCCCACGCAGCAAAGAAGACTCAGCACAACCAAAAATAGATAAATAAATAATTTTTTTTAGAAAGATGCTGTTAAGACTATTTTACATACTATTAGTAAAGGAAAAAATACCATCAGTTATAAGATGCATTTCGCTTTCAGAGATACTAAAATGGTAGAACCTATGAAAAGTGGTATATTTAAGCTTCTGTGGAAAAAGTAAATCTATTTTAGGAAGTGTGTGGAATTTTATGTCTTCCTAGGGATTAAAAATTCTTGGCTTACTCTTTAGAGTAAATCTTAAGACTGAAATTGGAAAAAATCTAATTAAAATATGTACATTTAAATGGTTAATATGTATTCTTATGTATGTGAGAATGGTTATTAATTATATATATGTGTATGGTTGTTCATATATACTCTTATTTTTAATTAATACTTAAATTTCCATGGTGCAAATGTAAGACAATGTGTTGTTAATTTTGCAGAGTTTTCTTTTAGAAACTCTTGAACAGTTTGTATCGATTGAGCGGAAACAGTTTAATGGGAATCGGTGGTTAACATTTTTGTGTTTTTTACCTCTGGATTTGGTAGGGTTTTCACAACATGGTATGATTGGTGTGACGCAACCACGAAAAGTAGCTGCCATATCTGTTGCTCAGAGGGTTGCTGAAGAAATGAAATGCACATTGGGATCCAAAGTAGGATACCAAGTTCGTTTTGATGATTGCAGCTCCAAGGTACCAAAGTTCTGTTTGTGTTTAGTTAAGTAATGTAAAGTTATAGAAAGAGTGGGAAAAGTTATGGAAGATTTTGACTTCAAAGTTTCATTTGCATTTTAAAGAAACAAAGCCTCAGATTAGAATTAATTTGTATTGTCCGTTATTAATGTCTTGTCCTGGGTGCCTTTCCTTTTCTCCTTTTCTTCCTTTTCAATTAGTTTTGTGACAGTTATGTTGATTTTTTCATAGGATTCCCTTGTGTATTTTAGCTGTAACAGTTCTTTTTTTTTTTTTTGTAACAGTTCTTGACATGTAACTTACATTTGTGTTCTTTGAAAAGAGATTTTATTGTAGTAATATATACATAAAATAAGGTTAACCATTTTTAGTATTTTCAGATCACATTTAGGTAAACATGCAGTGGCATTAAGTACATTCATAGTGTTTTGTAACCATTACCACTCTATATTTTCTGAATATTTTCACCATCCCAAACAACAGTGCTGTATCTCCACATTCCCATCTCCCCCACCTCCAGAAGTCCCTGGTACCATCTATTCTGCTTTACATCTCTATGCATTTCTATAAACTTAAAACGTGGGATCATGCAATATTGTGTCCTTTGTGTGGCTTATTTCATTTAGCTAATATTTTCAACATTCATCCATATTGTATGGTTGAATTCTTGAAGTCAGTGGAAAAATGACAGTTAACAAACTTATTGAGCAAATATTTGTTGAGCATCTTCTGTATTCATGGTAATAGTTCATAGCCACAATTTATATCCCCTCAGGATTTCTGAATCCTGAACCAGATGCAAAATAATCCCTGATTTGCTTATGGTCCCTAATAGGAATGGCTAGCAATAGTGGCACAGAATAACTCCCCAAAATACTGTCTCTGCATTCCTGGTGGTCCCTGCTGGGATTTTTGTTTTCTCCTTGCCTTGTTTTACGGATAGCTCGGGTTGTTGACTCCTTTTCTCACCTTCTTTTAATGCTAGTCAGCTGATCCTATTTTTGTAATAGGAAAATGGTCAGGGAGGAGTAGCATAAGAATGGTGACGCCTTCCTTTTTTCCCTAAGTTCTTTAAAATAGCAGCTGAGACAGGGGGACGAATCCCATGTCATTATTGTTTCCTACAGCTTGCTCACCAGAGGTCGCCGCGTTGTCTTAACCACTTTCTACTGACTTCATTGTATTTCCTTATTGTTGCTTTATCCCAGAACATTCCCTTAGTTTTCCTGCCTGTGTAGGTCACAAGTTTCATAATTTACCATCCTTGTAATTAAAATATATTATTAGGCTATTTTATGTAGTCAGATTAATTTGATCCCTTGATGTCTGTACATTTGAGGGGAAAAATTTAATTTGTGAAACAGGAGTGCATTTCTGTGATTTTTCTTTTTATGTGTATGTTAATATACTCTGCTGTTTGAACATTAGGAAACAGCAATCAAATACATGACTGATGGATGTTTACTGAAACATATTCTGGGAGATCCAAATCTTACCAAGTTCAGTGTCATTATTTTGGATGAAGCCCATGAGAGAACTCTAACTACAGTGAGTATTTAACTTTATTGCTTATTTTTTAGATAGTTTTATTTCTTTGGGAGTAGCTTTGTACTGTACAGTGAATTGCCTTCCCTTCCTTACATTTTAGTCGATTAAAATATGAATCCTTTGATTAAGGAGAGCAAAATACTTAAAATAAGTTGGTTGTTATGTACACTGGTGACTTATTAGACATTTACTTTTCTTTCAGGACATCTTATTTGGTTTATTGAAGAAGCTATTTCAGGAGAAGTCTCCCAACAGGAAGGAGCATTTAAAGGTCGTAGTGATGTCAGCAACAATGGAATTAGCCAAGCTCTCTGCATTCTTTGGAAATTGTCCAATATTTGATATACCCGGAAGGCTTTATCCAGTCAGAGAAAAATTCTGCAATTTGATTGGTCCACGAGATAGAGAAAATACTGCATACATTCAAGCGGTATTACTTGGCATCCTTTTTATGTCTTTTCTGTATCTGTGATTCTAGTTGACTGAGTAGTTTGATAATTCATTTTTTCTGTAGTATTTTAGCAGCAGCCTTCATAGGTCCTAGGACTTTTGAGAATCAGATTTAATTTTTCTGTGGAGCTGAGGGAGATGGTGGTAGTGGTGGCGGGGATTTTATGCTTGTGTTTCTTGTCCTAGATTGTGAAAGTGACCATGGATATCCATTTGAATGAAATGGCTGGAGACATCTTGGTTTTTCTGACTGGTGAGCATTCAGTCCCAGGTTTAAAAACGAGGGAAATGTGGCACCGCACTGCTATGTACTTTTGTTGGAAAATCTAGGCTCTACTCATTTTATCCTAGCCTTTTATGGTTATCTGAGTAGTTGTAGATGTTGTATCTATTATAAGATATGTAAGATAATTCTACACTGCCCTGAAAACCACAAGTCTCCTTAGTAAACATATGTAAAATACACTGACCTTTTAGTAGAAAGATACTAAATGGTAAAATATTAATATTTTTACTACCATATGTAGAACTGTTTACCACTAAACGGTCCTGGATCTGAATGACTAATTTCATTATTTCAAAAGACATCCTACTGGCTGCTTTCTTCTTTGAGTGGTGGGATGGTACTGTGTGGTAGCAGTGCATAAGGTGTGGAATCCGTGTCTCATAGGCATGGTTTTTGGATCAAAAATAGAATAGTTAAATCTCAGACTGGTGTGATTCTTCAAGGAGCAGCATTCTGCTAACAGATCTGAGTCATTTCATGGCTCACCTCCTACACTGCCTGTACTAATGTCAGAAGTGAGACATTGTAACAATCTCTTAGCCTTTTTAAGGAATTTTAAGTATTTTTGACATCAAATGCAGTATCCCCTATGGTAATGATTAACTTTATTGAATCTTCTTCAGATACCATGTTAGCAAGATGAAAGACTTGATGACTGTAAATGTTTTTATTCCTTTAGAGATTTAAATTCCTTGGAAACTGGTATTTCTTGTATTTTTAATTTTATGTTGGGATTGGGTACAACTTGTGTTCATCTACTTTAGATCAAATGAGATATTTAAAATATGCAAAACTAACATAAATCTAGAAGGGTTTTTCTTTTTCATTCTTAAATAATTTTGCTGTTCAGTTGCTGACATTATCTTCTCCCCTCATTTCAGGTCAGTTTGAAATCGAAAAAAGTTGTGAGTTACTTTTTCAGATGGCAGAATCTGTTGATTATGATTATGATGTCCAAGATACCACTCTAGATGGCTTGTTAATATTGCCCTGTTATGGATCTATGACAACAGGTAATTCCTCACTAGAACAGAAAATTTGATTTTTAAAGAGCTTTATATTGAATAATCTATTGGATAATCACATGTTTACAGATACAGTATGCAGACAGTAAGTGTTTAGGGCAAAGAATTTCACAAAGTGAACTCACCTTTGTAACTAGCAGCCCAGATCAAGAAGTAGTGTTTGGAGAACCATCCTGCATCCCTTGAGAGATATATTGAAGCCTTTTCACATTCACTTTTCCAAGACTTTGATCATCTATCCCCCTTAATGTTGTTAAGAGAGGGCTGTGTCCTCTCCCAGCAAAACAAAAATATTGTTATTAATTTTTTGAAGTGAGGACTATAATTCCTCGATAGTAGTACCATAAATCAAATATAATTTGCCACTGTCACAGAATTTCTAGGAATCTTATATATCCAGACATAACAGAGAAAGTGGATTGTTTTCTTTTTATGTAGCCACGCATACTAGTCTACTTTTCAAGTATGATGTAGTTCTTTTTTAAGTTCAGAGAGCAAATTCTAACTCTGATCATTCTATTTGTTCATAATAAATGTTACTGAATGAGGTTTAGAATTTGTTTTGTATAACTATTGCATTATGGAATTTGACTTGTAATATGAAAGGGAAGTTAACCTGTAGTCTCCTATTTGGACTTTGACTGGGATTAGCACTTATGTAATGCAAAAAAGCATTTGAATGTTTTTATATTTTATGTGTAGTTTTGTTTTCATTGAGTAGGTGGTTCTTATCTGTATATTAACAAAAGCAGTTCAGCAATGTATGTGTTGGTAAATAACCATAGACATACCATTTTAGAAATTCCTTTTGTGATGGTATTGGGCCCTCACACTCAACATTGACATCTATTTTAGATTATTATGTCTTCAAGGGAATTCGTAGGGTCATTGTTAGGTATTTAAGGTTCTCATTTATTTTGGAGATTCTAGCTACTAATTCTTTTATAATTTACTTTGTAATTGATAAGATAATTCAAAACCTGGTATAGTTGCTTTGTGTTAATTGTCAATAATACATACATACATAATTCCGTATAAAGTAAAGAAGTTCATTCTTTCCATCTTACTGCCACATTGAAAATAATTGTTCTTTATCTTCCATTGCTTCTTGCTTATCTTCCTGAGATTCAGTTTTTATACTATTAAAGCTTGCTAGTGACCTGTTCCTCAAATCTCATGGCATTTTTCTATCAGTTTGAATTTTGATTTTGAGTTAAGTCTCTTTAAATGCTGTTGTGTAGGATAGTCATTTGGTTCTTCTGACCACTTTTTCCATAAGTCTGTTGCCTTACCACCCTCCCTGGCTTTTGTTCCCCTCTGAATATGACTATTTTCTGAGGTTTCTTCCTTAGCTTGCTATTTTCTTAGAATTCTCTGTTTTGGAGAGGTTGGCTTCTAGGATTCACCTGTCACTTCTTTGTGTTGACTCCTGAAAACTGTCTGTAGTTCAGTCTCCTGCACTCTAGGCCTCCTGGGTCTCACAACGATTTCTGATGTGTTCATCATCTCCTAGATCATACAGTCCAAGCACGTGGCAACTCCTACAGGTTTTCTTTTGCCTTTATCTTCTCCAGAGCCTTCGTCTTTCTTCTTTTTTCCCTCATTGTCATTAGAATTGGGATCCTCAGTTTGCTTTCCTGGGTTGTTAACATATCCAGCTAACTGATTTCCCCTGATTTAATTTGCCATCCTACCTGCTGTGGTAAATATAATCTTCCAAAGCACAGCTCTGATTGTGTCGGTCTCCCTATTCAGTACCTCCAGTCATTTCCTATTGCCAGCTGAATTAAAATGCCAGCTTAATAACTCGGCGTTCATTTTCCTTCCAATATGACTTTAGCCAGCTTTCAGCCTTAAATCCCAGTGTATGTGATTTTCTTTGTTGGTGTATATCAGTTCACTTCAGTTGCTTAGTCGTGTCCGACTCTTTGCAACCCTGTGGACTACAGCACTCCAGGTTTCCCTGGCTTTATCACCAACTCCCAGAGTTTACTCAAACTCATGTCCATCGTGTCAGTGATGCCATCCAACCGTCTCATCCTCTGTTGTCCCCTTATCCTCCTGCCTTCAATCTTTCCCAGCATCAGGGTCTTTTCCAGTGAGTCATCAGGTGGCCAGAGTATTGGAGCTTCAGCATCAGTCCTTCCAATGAACATTCAAGACTGATTTCCTTTAGAAAATCAGTGACTGGTTGGACCTCCTTGCAGTCCAAGGGACTCTCAAGAGTCTTCTCCAACACCACAGTTCAAAAGCATCAGTTCTTCAGCACTCAGCTTTCTTTATAGTCCAGCTCTCACATCCATACATAACTACTGGAAAAACCATAGCTTTGACTAGACGGACCTTTGTTGGTAAAGTAATGTGTCTGCTTTTTAATATGCTGTCTAGGTTGGTCAGAGCCTTTCTTCCTAGGAGCAAGCGTCTTTTAATTTCATGGCTGCAGTCACTATCTGCAGTGATTTTGGAGCCCCCAAAAATAAAGTCTCTGTTTCCATTGTTTGCCTGTCTGTTTCCCATGAAGTGATGGGACCAGATGCCATGATCTTAGTTTTCTGAATATTGAGCTTTAAGCCAACTTTTTCACTCTCCTCTTTCACTTTCATCAAGAGGCTCTTTAGTTCTTTGCTTTCTGCTATCAGGGTGGTGTCATCTGCATATCTGAGGTTATTGATATTTCTTTCCTGGCAATCTTGATTCCAGTTGGTGTACATAGGTAAGTGGTAAAGATGTGAAACTGGGTTTGAGTAGAGCCATTACTGAAGGCTTTTGTTTATTTATTTTAGTTCCCCTTCTGGTTCCAGGGACACTGTAAGGTGAGCTACTGGTGATCCATTATGATCATAACCATATTTATTGTAGCAGTTTATGACAGTGCAAAGAGGCATTCAGATGGAGCCAGTGAGGTATTGAGTAATGGGTGAGATGGAGTTTGATGAAGTAGAGAGACAGTAGCAGGTTCCTGGGATCTAAGGCTTTCTTTATAAGCCTAGTAAATATAATACAGCACTTAGTTTCTTTGTTATTGCTACTTTGGGTTGTGGGGAGAGACCTTAATACATTGTTATTTCTTTTATTTCCTATTAGTCTGAGGAACAGAAAGTTTGCATTTGGGAGTGAGGAGAGGGAAGAAGGGTTTCCTGCCTATAGCCTGGAGTGAGGGGTTTCGATAGGTTTAGTGATGAAGTAGGCATTATGAGGTGGATATTTTATATGCTGTTAACTTCTGAGCTAGCCATGAGTGTGGCTATTTTAAAGTGACATCTTAAAAAAAAAAAAAATGACATCTTTAAATATCTCCCTGCTTGACATAAAAAATTCTCATCTGTCAAATGTGAAGAGGTGCTGAGGTGTTCCTTCTACTACCAGGTCACCCGACCCTGCTCACTGGGCTGAACTCCCCCTGACCCCCACCCCTTGTGATGTTCACTCAGGCTCAAAATGTGCGAGCTATTTTTGATCTCTTTTCCTCTGGCAACATTTCTGTGATTCTGTGTTTGCTCCTTCCTGAACGTTTACTCTCCCCCCCACTGTTCAAAATTCTGCTCTTTTGCTTCACAAGTGCAGCCAACTCCATAAAAACCCAAACTCAAGAATAAGAACCTTATTCTTGTTTCTCTCAAACCTTTTCTCTCTTTTTACTTCTTCCTTTTTGTTCAGGTCTTATACTCCTGCATGTTTGTTGTGTATTTAGGGAAAGCTAAGTGAAGTTGCTCAGTCGTGTCCGACTCTTTGCGACCCCATGGACTATAGCCCACCAGGCTCCTCAGTCCATGGAATTTTCCAGGCAAGAATACTGGAGTGGGTTGTGATTTCCTTCTCCAGGTAGGGAAAGCTAAACCCCTACTAACATTTATGAACTGAAATATATTTGTTGCTTCATAAGTGACAATTATTTGCATTGAATTAGGCATTTTTAGCACTGAAGTAATTCTCTAATTCAGTGCAGAAGCCTTTTGTGGAGGGTGGGAATCTTAGATTTTTTTTTAAGTAATAAAAGCCATGGCTGTTTTTCTATAAAAATGCATATATACCCGTGTATATATATATATATGCATAATCAGATTTCTTTATTTTACAGATAGAGGTTAAGTGCTGTTCCTGAGGTCACATGGTGAATCTACATTTGATTACTGGTTATTCATTCAGTAGTGGAGGATCTAACAGTACATGTGTTTCTGCAATAGATGAAGAAAAGGAGAGGAGTTTTACCTTGGGGTGGTGTACAACATTTTAAAAGAGGAGAAACTGCTCATTTAGATTATTGCATACATCCCAAAACAGTTTTTTCTCTTCTGCTTACAAAACAAAGATACTACTTTCAATATGTCGAGTACCAAGTGTCTAGGATAGTTTCCTTAAATGTTAAGATTAAAGATGTGGGGGAATAAGGCTAGTGAGTTTCACATAAAAGCTTTTAGTCTATGTGTTTTCTCCCCAAATGAAAAATTTTATCTTATCTTAGAAAGAAATACATACTTTTTTAAAACAATAAAATCATCAAAGCAAGAAAAATAAACTTAGATGCCACCAACATGATTAAGTGATAATCACTATTAATATTTTGAGGTATATTGTTCTGACCTTTTTATTTATACATTTAGATATGTTTTATTGTTTAATTTTTTTTTTAAGAAATATGGGTTGATTTCACATATGCTCCTTTGTTTTTCTTTTCTGCCCTTTGTAGAAGTTTTAAAAGTACAGAAAAGTACCCAAAAAATGCATTTTCCACTATGCAGAATTAACCTAGATGGTGTCTCTCTTTAAAGAAAAATTACTCAATTGAGGGAAAATGATAAAATTTGATTATAACGAATTCAAGCAGTGTACAAAATTACAAAGGTAAACTTAAAGAAATCACCTCAAACTCCATCCAGAAATAACCATCTTTAACATTAGAAAGAACATTATTCAGATCTCTGTGTATGTGTGTGTGTACGTGTGTACATATAGAAGGATAAGTAAGTAGGTAGGCTGAAAGAAATACTTTTCAAGAGTGAGATTATACTATTAGTTGCTTTTTTAGAAAGTAATTTTACTTGAATTTACTTGAAGGAATTGTTAACTTTTAACTTCAAGTAAATCTTTACCATGAGATAATATTTTATAATAAAAGATTGCTCTAAGTTTAAAGAAATGAAAAATATTAAGCTGAAGTTAATATCTTCCTTCTAGACTATATTTGGTGCTTACTTTGGCAGCACATATGCTAAAATTAGACAGTATTTGATTGGAGATCTTATCTATTGCCTGATTTGAAAGATGAAGACTTAAGTACTTATATTCTTCTATATCCTCCCCTTCTGATTTTTGTCGGTTATTTTTACATTGTTCAGAGGTATTCAGTGTTTATCATCAATCCTTTTACCATGATTTTTCCATTCCTAAACTATTTCGATTGATTTTAGATTGGGTAGATTTTAACCTTTTTTTTTTTCTTCTTTTTAATAGAAGGGATCCTGGGTGTTTTTGTTTTTGTTTTTTTGTAGTTCTTTTGTTTAAGAATGTCAGGCTTTTGCCTTTATACTTGAGCTACATCTTGGCTGGGTTTTATGTTCTTGGGTTACACTTTCTTTTCCTTAGAACTTGGTAGACGTTGTCCAGTTGTCTTCTGACATTGAGTGTTGCTGCGGAGAAGTCTGAGGCCAACCTGATTTTTTTCCCCCTCCTTGTAAGTGATTTGTTTTATCTGTCTGATTGCTTGAAATTTCCTATTTTTATCCTTAAAGTTCAATAGTTTCATTTAGAATATTTTTTGGTGTTGGGTGTTTTATAGTAAAAATGTCCTGGAATTTTATGTGCTTTTTAAAAAAATCAACTTTTCATACAATAAACTATGCCTGTGTTAAGTATACAGTTTCATGAGTTTTGAGAAATGTACATATCTGTGTAGGAGCTTCCTAGGTGGCTCAGTGGTAAAGAATCCCACCTGCCAGTGCAAAACATGCAGGAGACGTGGGTTCAGCCCCTGGGTCGGGAAGATCCCCTGGAGGAGGAAATGGCACCCGCTCCAGTACTTCTGCCTGGAAAGTCCCATGGACAGAGGAGCCTGGTGGCTGCAGCTGATGGGGTTGCAAGGAGTCAGACACGACTTAGCAATTGAGTACACACGCACACGTATCTGTGTAACTACCACCAAAGCCATGATAAATTGGTTGCTCTTTTGATCTGCAATTTTAATTATCATGTTGGATTGCCTCTCTTCCTATATTTTAGCTTCCTTCCAGTTACTTTATCTTTTCAACTGCATTTACTGATTATCTCAAGCCTTTTCTCTGTGTCAGAAGTTTGATTTTCAGCTGTGTTAGTGAGGGTTCTCAAGATATTTTTGATGCACCAAAAAATGACTTCCAGTGGGGGTAGAGTTGGAGCTGAACAGTGTTGTACTACTTTTATTTTGTTCCAGAATCATTTTAACCCCTTTGATTAACCGTTTCTGTTTATAGCTCTGTGTTCCTTTTATACACATTTTCTCTCTGTTTCTCTTATCTCACACACACACACACACACACATTCTCTTTCAGACATGTTTCTGCTTTAGGAACAATTTGAAACAAATTTTATGAGGATGTTTCTGTTGGCCTTAACATATAATGTGGAACATACATGTATCTTAGGAATGTTAAAGAGTGTTAAGTGGTCTAGCCTCAGTATCTTTATTTCTTGGTAGATTTTGGAACATCTTTCTGCCTTTTTGCCAATCCTCCCTCCTCGCCTGTTAATTTACATCCTGGTACCTTATTAGATGGGCTTACCTGGTGGCTCAATGGTAAATAGCCTGGTGGAGGAGACATGGTAAAGAGCCAGTGTGAGAGGTGCAAGAAATGCAGATTTGATCCCTGGGTTGGAAAGATGCCCTGGAGGAGGGCATGGCAACCCACTCCAGTATTCTTGCCTGGAAAATTCCACGGACAGAGAAGTCTGGTGGGCTACAGTTCATGGGGTAGTAAAGAGTCGGACACTACTGAGGAAGTAAGCTTGCACGCAGTGAAAGTATTGTTTCCCCTTTGTGGAAACTGAGAATGTGCTTTAGGATATATGTATTTAACTTTTCCCCCGAACCTTTACAAAGAGAAATAAAATTGGCATATGTGTATACTTATGGAATATGGTGTTAAAGTATATGGGTGAAATGTAAATGTGAAACACATATGAGTCTTGTCAAAATAGCAGGTTAAGAACTTTTTAATTGACTAGTGAACAGTGATAAACTGAAATCTTGCTTGAATTCAAGACTAAAATTAGGTAATTTTAGAAATGAGTTAATTGAAAAACAGAGTTGATCATAAATATGTTCAGAATGGACATTTCTAATTTATGTAAACTTTTACAGTAATGTGAAATTTTAAAAGTAGAAGAATCTCTATTGTTTATACCATGCATTTTAAAATTTATCAATTCATTGAACTTTATTGAGCACTTTCTGTGGTCCAGGCATTTTAGGTACTGGGGTGGGAGGGGAGTGGTATGTCTTGAATAAGAGAAAGTCCTTGTTCTTACAGAGCACATTATAGTAGAAGAGATAGACAGCAGATGAATGTGTAAACATATAATGTGAAATACTGGGTAGTGTATGACTCGTTTGAACTATCTGGAAGAAATGAGCTACCTAAATCTAAGACACACCTAAAAAATAATTTTTATCATTTATGTGTAAGTTGCCTTTCTAGCACTTTTTTTCCTTAAGTTAATTTCAGGATGATGTAGAAGAGCAGTAATACTTGACTTGGTTTTAAACTTGCCTGTCTATATGTGGATCTTGGGCAAGTCACTTGACTTCTCTGGGCTTTAGTTCTCATCCATAAAATGAGATGGTTGGCCTAGTATATGATTTTAAAACTGCTTATCTGTGTCATTCCTTTTCTCCTTTGTGAGAGTTCAACTTTGGTCTGTTTTATATATTGGGAATACCTGGATCTTTGTAAGATTTTATTTGGAAACACGTTTTGTACTTTATTTAAAAATAGGTTTGGTTAAGATTTCCTTGGCTGCTGAGGAGAGAACAACTTGAGGTTGCTCAAGTAAAAAAATTTTTCTAAACGAATGTGGGTATATCTTGTGAAAATCAAATGCAACTATGCATTTAAAATTTTTTTTCTTTTTACATTATATGTATATACTTAACTGTTCAGTATAAATATATATGTTGAAATATATATATACAGATACAAATACAAATTTATATATACAAATATAAATACATATGCTGATCATTTCTTTTCATATGCCAGTAGACTGACTTGTGTACTCCCTGGAATGACGACTCCTAATTTGTGGCAATAGCTGAGCTAGACAGTCTACCCACATCTCTTGCTTGACCCCTCGAGCTTTAGTGACCTTTTCCTTCATCCCACCATGACCACTCATTTGAAAACTTAGCATTGTAGACTTTGTCAGTATCATTATTTCTGACCTCAGTTTTAAACATCTTTCTGATGATTACTTCCTGTTTCTGCCAATTCACTCTTCAAATTTAGCAATTTTCAGAATGCGTCAAGACTTTTAACAGTTTTCACTTATCTCCTTTTACCTATGCTGTTGTCATTTCCTTGCAAACAGTAACTCTCCTATTCTGTTCTCTGCTTAACCAGGCAGGAGGGCAAGTCTGGCCAAATCCATCTTTCTACTTGTTTTATACCATGTCTCTTAAGCCTTGGAGATTGCCACGCACCCAGAAATATTCTCTTGTGAACTGTTACAGATGATTCATTCTTTCTTCTCTTTAGACTAGCTTTCCTCCATTATATTAGTCACTTCCCTATGGTTCACAAGTTAATTTTTCCTCTTTGCAAGAGACTGGCCTAATCAAATTGAGCATATCTTGGACCTCATTCCAAGAGATTCAAAGGAGAATGAGAACTGGTCCAATTGGAGAGAGGTTTATCCTTGGCACCATAAACTATGGCTCGAGGAGCAAAAGTTACTCTAACCATGACTGCTGGGGCCCACCCTTCAGAATGCATGGGTAGTAAAAATCAGGATGGTGTTACTTGTTTAGAGATGGAGTCATCTGAAAAAGGAGAAGGAAATGGCAACCCACTCCAGTATTCTTGCCTGGAGAATCCCAGGGACGGGAAGCCTGGTGGGCTGCCGTCTATGGGGTCGCATAGAGTTGGGCAGACTGAAGCGACTTAGCGACAGCAGCAGCATCTGAAAAAGTAAAAACAGATTAACCTTAGTTAATCAGTCTTTAAAGCGTAGAAAGGTTCTTAATCTGTATGGGTGGGTGGGCATTAGAGAGCCCCCAAGCATCCTGGTATTGTTAGAAAATTTTCATGTATGTGTGCATATGTGACTTTTAATGGAGACGAGGCCCACAGTTTTTAAAGTCTCGAAGGGAGTTATGACCTACATAAAGGACTGCTGTAGGGTTTATTTTAGCAATAATAATCTGGTTCCATGGATCTAGATATCTTAATAGTAAAAGATGAGTAAAGAAGTAGTTCTTGCTATTGTATTTTTAATTCAAGATAATTAAAGAGGTGAAGAAAACAACTTCTAATGGAAAGGAGTTTTTCAGAACTTGAGTTTGACACATGCATGTTGTGAATTATTCTTTTCTTTTCATGTATATTTTAGATCAACAGAGAAGAATATTTTTGCCACCTCCACCTGGAATTAGAAAATGTGTCATATCCACCAATATTTCTGCAACATCTTTGACAATAGATGGAATCAGGTATAGCTTTTAAAATTCCTTTTAAAGCCAAGAAGCCACTTAGTTAATCATAAAATATTAAGTTTGTGTCTCTGTGCCTTCCACCAGTTCCCCTCTCACCTACTTAACCTGTAATCACCCACCATTTTTGGTAATAATTGTTTGCTCTGAATAGGAAATGGAGTAGGAAGTGCATATAGTATTCCTGTTGATACTTTTAAATACTTGTAGTTGGCAACTTGTAGCTTTCTCTTCCCAAATGTAAGATTATGTGTAATGTTTCAAGGATTTCTTTAAGTGGGAGGCCAAACCTGTTCTGTGTTCCCGTTACCAGCGGATACCTAAGATGATCTGATATTCCCTTCTGACCTGTCAGAAGGTCCACTTCATATAGTTAGCTTTGTAAATCCAAGTGTTTATCTGGAGGTACTATTTCTTGCTTTTCAGCTTTTTGTGAAATGGACTTTATATTTCAGTGTAATCAATGATGCCATCAAATTTTTGAAAAATTTTGTAGAGAAACACTTGGAAATTTAAAGTCTAGACCGATAGCTAAACGAGAAATTCTTTTAGACTTTTGAGCCACATTCCTTCTGGATGCTTATCTTTTAGCCAGTATATTTTATGTCCTTAACTAAGTCTGTTTCTGCCACAGGATGACGACCTGCCCCAAAGATTTCTGTACGTTTCTTTTGGGTAAAATGATCATCTAGATCTAAGAGGAAGTTTAATTTCCTCTGCTTCTCTCCTTAACTTTAAAAATAATGGTTTCACTAAGGGCTTAGGTGAGCAATTCTCTTGAGTAAATTAATCTCTGTAATTTTTTGTTTCCAGCCAAGGCAATAGTCATGAAATAGAGTCTTTCAGAATGTTCCCTTAGTGAATGATAGACTTAGTACTGTTCCTGACTTAGTTTTTTACCTGACTTGGTCTCCATTTAATTGGCTTAAAGTGGTGTTGTTAAAGTGTAAATGGAGTTAATTCTGAACCTGTTAGAATAATTTAGAGGTGATTTTCAAGTTTTTCATTTGTTGTTGTTGTTTAGTCACTAAATGCGTGTCTGACTCTTGCGACCCCATGGACTGTAGTTCATCAGTCTCCTCTGTCCATGGGATTTTCCAGGTAAGAATACTGGAGTGAGTTGCCATTTCCTTCTCCAGGGGATCTTCCCCACCCAGGGGCTGAACCTGCATCTCCTGCATTGGCTGGTGGATTCTTTACCACTGAGCCACTAGGGAGGCCCTTGTTTCCTATGGGACAACATAAGATTTACATAGAAAAGTGGATAATAAAGTAGTATTTATTCTATATACAGTGTGGTGCAACTACCACCTCTATCTCATCCTAAACTTTTCATCACCCCCAAATAAAACTATATACTTATTGTTGCCCATTTATGCCTCCACCCTAGCCCTTGGCAGCCACCACTTAATGAATATCCTATGTTGGATATTTCATATAAATGGAGTCATACAGCATGTGATCTTTTGTGCCTGGCTTCTTCCACTCTGCATGTTTTTTGAGGTTCATCCGTGATGTAGCATGTATCAGTGCTTCGTGCTTTTTTATAGCTGAATAGCATTCTGTTGTATGTGTAGACCATAATTTGTTCACCCTTTCATCTCTTAATAGTTAATGAACATTTATGCTGTTTCTACCTTTTGGCTCTTATAGTGCCCCTATAGTGCACTATGAATATATGTCTGCAAGTATTTGTTGAGTGGGCTTCACAGGTGGCTCAGTGGTAAAGAATTTGCCTGCTAGTGCAGGATACGTGGGTTTGATCACGGGGTGGGGAAGATCTTCCTGGAGGAGGAAATGGCAACCCACTCCAGTGTTCTTACTTGGGAAATCCCATGGACAGAGGAGGCTGGCAGGCTACAATCCACAGGGTCCCAAAGAGTGGGACACGACTGAGCACACACACATGCAATTTGTGTTCAGGTCTTCTGAGTGTATTCCTAGGAATGGAGAGTTTGAGTCATATTATAATTCTACATTTAATGTCCTGAGGACCCACCAAACCATTTTCCACATTGGCTGAACCATTTTGCATTTCCAATAGCAGTGGAACCAATAGAGTTCCACTTTCTTCACTTTCAGGTTTTACCCTTAACTGAAAAGTTGTTGTGTAGTTTTTAGTTTGATAGAAAAGAAGTACCAAAGTGGTTAAAATTAGCAAGTCTTTCCATATTTTCTAGAAACTTAACTTTTTTCCATGCTTCTTAGATACGTGGTGGATGGTGGCTTTGTGAAGCAGTTAAATCACAACCCCAGGTTAGGATTGGACATCCTAGAGGTGGTTCCAATTTCAAAGTAAGTCTCTGTGTTAAGCCTTTTTGTTCAAAGAGCAGTTCATTAGATAATTTCTAATTGTTTTGAGAAAGAAAATGAATTACTTAGAAAAAAAATCACAGAACATTTTGGGGACTTTTTGTTGTTTTTTTCCTAAAGGAGTGAGGCGTTACAACGAAGTGGCCGAGCTGGCAGGACTTCCTCAGGAAAATGCTTTCGGATCTATAGTAAAGATTTTTGGAACCAGTGTATGCCTGACCATGTGATCCCTGAGATTAAGAGAACTAGTTTGACATCTGTAGTTCTGACCTTAAAGTGCCTTGCCATACATGATGTAATAAGGTATGTAGACAACTTGGAAAAAAAGAAAAATTTGTTAGGGAGTCAGGTTTTTCCTCTGAAATTTTTTTGAAGTATTTGACACATATGGCCCTCCATTTCAAGGTTTAACTAAACCTAAATAAAAGGTTTCTTTCCCTTGCTTTACCGGGATTTGATCCCTTGCTCATATTTTAACCTTGGCTTAATGGAGTGTTTGTTTCAGGCTGATGTTTATTTGGTTCATTTAGTGACCACTGTTTATCTGTAGTGAAAGGTATACAATGACCTTCATTCCACTTAGAAAGTGTTGTGTTTTATTTTTGGAGGGATTAGCATTTTTTATGTAGCCAGCATGGTACCAAATACCATGAGGGGAATACGCTTTAGTAGGTTTTGCTTTCGCTAAGCTTAAATTCTAATGGGGAAATGAGATTTAGATATGAAGCAAAGAATAGAACAACTGTTAAATTTTAGTTAAATGTTGAACTATATAATTAGTATAGGACAGAATATTGTAGGGCCTTGAAATTTTACCATTATAAAATTTATGGTAGAAGAAATAGTGAAAGAAGAGTATTATCTTTGTCTTAATTTTGTTTTTAATTGTCTGGGGATGTTGAAGTGTCAGGAACCTAGGGAGAAGATGGCTGCATTCTTTTCTGTTTTTCATGCCATCTTTAAATTCATAAAAGGGAAATAGTTACTAGATGCATCCAGATATGTTTTATATACTCTTGGAAAGCCATCTGAGATTGATTTTTTTTTTTTTATAACACCGGAGTTATTGTAACACCAGAGATTTTCTAGATGAGAATAAAACTTCTAGAAAGAAGAAAGCAGATATATAAAATTGTTTTCATAAATGATACCTATGAGAAAGGCCATTTTAAAGAAATCTAATTGACCAAACAGATGAACTCAGATTGAAAATATTTATAAAGGCTAACAGAGCAGCATATAACCAAGAATAAATATATATTAGAAAAATAGAAACTATAATTACTCAATATCATCTGCACTGAATTATTTTTCCATCTTAAGTTTTAAGACTTAGAAAGTACTGAAAATTCTTAAAATGCTAGAGACCAAAAAAAAAAAAAGACTTCTTTCCCCACCCCTCTTTCTTTTATACATTGTGAAATGATTACCACAGTAGGTTTAGTGAACATCCATCATCTCATACAGATAAAATATTAAAGAAATAGAAAAAAAAATTTTTTTCCTCATGCTGAGAATTCTTTCATATATAACATACAGCAGTGTTAATTATTTACCATGTTCTATCTCCCTGTAATAGAGAACCGGAATTTGAAATAGATGGTATAGTATTCACAGGTAACAAAAGAAAGTGGAGCTTTTGTTGTTACTGAGCTTCCCCATTCTCGTCCATCACGGATGATTTTAGGGACTTTCCTGGTGGGTAGCACCATGGAGAAGAACCTGCCTGCCAGGTTCAGTCCCTGGTCTGGGAAGATTGCACATGTCATGGCACACCCAAGCCAGTGTGCCACAACTGCTGAGCCCACACGCCTCGACTGCTGCAGCTGGACACTCTGGGACCTGCGAGCTGCGAATACTGAACCTGTGAGCCGCAACCGCCGCGCCCGTGAGCTGCAGCTGCTGGAGCTTGCAGCCTCGAGCCTGCTCTGTTCAACAAGAGAGCCCCTGCCGTGAGAAGCCCTGCTGCGGCAACTGAAGAAAGCCCGAGAGCAGCAACGCAGACAGGACAGCCGAAGTAAACAAATAAATGAAACTTTTTAGTGAAGAATGATTTTAAACCTGAAGAGAGCAGAACAGGTCTAGACAGGAAGGGATGATGACTAGTATGGATTAGAAAATACTGAGAGAAACCCTAACAACCATAGATGAGGTTGTCTTGAGGCTTTAGACATTATTTCCACAATACTAGAAGAACTTGCAGATACAATGTCAGAGGTACTATAGGTCATCACTGAGAAACTATGCAGAACAGATTAGCAGAAAATTGTGAGAAACTAAAACAAATTTTCCACTTAAGAAAAGGGCAGGTTATAGAAGTAGCTGCCTAGTAAGCTTTACATTGATTCTTAGCAAATTCTACCATTGTTTATTGGAAAATGGTTTAAGAGAATATAATTTTGATTTGTAATCATCAGTGTGAATCAAAATGGATCACAAAGAATATGTCCTCAAACCATTCCCTTTTCAGTTTGAAGACAGGACCATTCACATAACAGATGCAAGAAGTGATTGAATGATAACCTGATGTCTCTTGTTTCGACACAGTATTTAACAAGATTACATTTGACATCTTTGTGAATAAGAATATGACAGTACTGCTGAATTAGGGTATAGTCACCAAATAGCCAAACCCAGAAAGTATTGATTAATTGTTCACCAAGCCTTGATGGGGGTTTTACTGGTAGTATGCTGAATTTCACTTTTTCCTGATAAGCATTTTAAATGAAAATATTCAATAATCATATTAAAATCATGATTTCCAGATTTTTGGTAAAAATTTGCATACCTAATAGGTAGATGATTAAAACTGCAACTTAGAATGGTCTCATAGGCCAGAACCTTGGGCAAAAATCACCAAGGTAAAAGTCTGAAAGGATATATCTAAAATCCTATGTTTTGATTGCACATTAAAGAAGTTCAGTGTGGAAAAGATCTTAAGTTATCTGATCACCACAAACTTAACATGAGTTTGCAGTTATTCTGTTTAAAAATTTTAAAAAACCCTACTGCATAAACTCTGATTATTAATAGACTGCAGTGTTCAGATGATTGGGAATTATAGCATTCCTCTTCAGTGTTGGTCACTCTACATTTGGAATTCAGTTTTGCATGTTATCATGTTTTATGACGAGTTTGACAAGCTAGATTGTTTAAAAAAAAATGCTAATTATGTATGATGGGTTTCTTAGAAACCAGAGAATACAAGGAGAGTTTGACAGAATTGGTACTTGATATAATCAAGGGGAGAAATAATTGTACTTTTAACAAATCTAAAATGGCTCTTATGTAGATGAGGAAGCTGACTAGTTTGGTATTGTTCTAGGATTGGGGTCACAAAATCTGGTCCAGGCTCACTGATTGTTTTTGTAAATAAAATTTTATTGGAACACAGCCATGCCCTTTCATTTATGTATGGCTGCTTTTGCTTTAGCAGTAGAGTTGAGTGGTTGTGACAGAGACCATATGGCCTGTAAAACCTAAAATATTTACTGTCTTGCCTTTAAAAAGTGGCTTCCCTTATAGCTCAGTTGGCCTTTAGAAAGTTCTTGCTAACTCTTGCTCTAGCAGATAACTGGACTTGTTGATACAAGTTGTAGGAAAGCTGACTATAGAACAGTCAACCAGATTTTTGTTTATTTATATTGAAATAGAGCTGTCAATCCTGGAATGGACTTTTTTTGTGTAAGATACTGGACCTTTTCCAAAAGTGAGAAATTGGAGTGGATAATTTATCATCTCAAAACTAATGTTGGGAAAAATAATCCAGTGCAGATAATATTAAGTAATTATTGTCCCGGTGGGCAGGTATATATTCACCTTGGTTATATGTCTCCCTGCTGTCCTTTGTGAATATTATTTTTTTCCATATTTGAAGAAATAATTATCTTCAAGTGTGAAATAGATCCCATGCTCTAGAGGCATCTCTCAATAGTCATACTGACCTTTGTGAATACTGTTGTCTTATGTTACTTAATGATAGTGTGGTATGTAAGACAATGTCCTTACTTTCAGGGGGCATACTCTGAAATATTTGGGGGTAAATTGGCATTGTATTTACTTACAGTCTGTTTGCAGACAGTTCAAGAGAAAATAAGTCCATACATATCCATACAGACAAGCAAATTGGTAAAGTTAATTGAAGCTATTTATCGTTGTATCAAAAACCATTTTGAAGTACTGTTAAATAATTTGTAACTTTTTAGCCACTTTCAGTTAATTCTTCACTGTTTTTTAAAATTGTAATAAAAATTACAGACTGCAGAACAGAATAGACGATATTGGCTATGAAGAACCTTTGTTAAGATAAGTAGAGAGGAATCATGAGAGTATTGCAGCTAAGGGGGAATCAAAAAAAAGGGCTTCTTGAATTAAATAGAAGAGTGTGATTCAGAAAAAATTTCCTCCTTTGTCAAATGCTGATTACCGTCATAGAATGCTAAAAAGAAAAGAGATAGAAAAGAAAACTTGAAAAACAGAAGGAAAACCTTTTAAATTTTGAAATCTGTATAAAATCTTGCCATGTTCAAGGAATGAAGTCTCATTTTATGTATCACTTAAACACACAGGTTCCCCTATTTGGATCCACCTAATGAAAGACTTATTTTGGAAGCTCTTAAACAACTTTACCAGTGTGATGCTATTGACAGGTAAACAAGAAAAACCCTCAAAACAAAACCAACCACAACAGATGTTAATCTCTCTTTTTTTTAAGGTGTCTTAATACTTTCCTTTATCATTAGAAAGTGATTTGTTTGAATTGAATGGATTGTTTTCCCTGAAATTAGAATTTGTTCTCAGTCTTCCCTCACCACAATTCTGAAGTTATACCATAAACCTGTTTTTGTTTAGTATTGGTAGCATGTAACATGTAATTTCTGAGTACCATTTGTATTGCCAGGCATTGTGCTGGGCACATCAAAATAATAAGCAAGCCAGAGTCCTTGTTCTCATGACTATGTGATGGGAAAAGATGTAATTATCACTGTCTCATTTCCTTAAGGACATTTTCCGTGCTTGTGTAGCATTGTGTGTCTGTTACTGTATTACTGTATCCTGCCTTGTTTAGTTTGTTGGCTAGATAGGCGCTTGAGAGCAAGGAATTTTACCATCTTTATGCTTCTCTTATCAATGTCCATAGTGTGTCATATTCCTTATATTGAATTGAATTTCTAGAGGTAATTTAATCTAAATTATATCTGACTTATTCTGAGTGATAAACATTTCACTTGTACTCTTTGAAGGCAGAAAGACTTAAGAACTTTTCCTTTCCATTAAGGAGTGGCCATGTGACCAGATTGGGTTTGTCTATGGTAGAATTTCCTCTCCCTCCACATCTGACATGTGCAGTAATAAAGGCTGCTTCTCTCGACTGTGAAGATCTACTGCTTCCAATAGCAGCGATGTTGTCTGTGGAAAATGTCTTCATTAGACCTGGTAAGAAATTTATTGATGAATTTTTTAAATTAATAGATTTTATTTTTTAGAGCAATTTTAGGTTTATAGAAAAATTGAGGGAAAGTACAAACACAGAGTTTTCCCTATTATTAACATTTTTTTACTAGCGTGGTACCTTTGTTATAATTAAAGAACCAATATTGATACATTATTATTACTGAGGAGTTCGGTGTTTGTGTTGCAAATTCTGTAGGTTTTGACAGATCTGTTTAATGACACATAGTCACCGTCAGAATATTGTGCAGAAGGGTTGCACTGCCTCAAACGTTTCCTGTGTTCCACCTAGTCGTTCCTGCATCCTTTCCTCCAAGCCCTTAGCAACCCCTGATCTTTTTTTTTGCCTTTTCCAATATAGTCAACTATATATTCTGACTATGCAGATTCCTGTATTCCTGTACTGGAATGTATTCCTTCCGATACCTTTTCAGATTGACTTCCTTAACAGTGGGCTTTTGTGGCTCCTCCATGTCTTTTGGTGGCCTGATAGCTCATTTCTGTTTTTGGCGGGAGCACATAGACTTTCTCCAGTCATAGCACATGTGGCTTCTCTAGTTGCAGCGCGTGGACGTGGTTGCCTCGTGGCATGTGGGATCTCAGTTCCCCGACTGGTCTCGAAGCCATGTCCCCAGTGTTGGAAGGTGGACTCTTAACCACTGGACCTCCAGGGATGTCCCAGCTCATTTCCTTTCGTTGCTGAAGAACATTCCACTGTGTGGAGTTTGTTTATCCATTTTCCTATGGAAAGACATCTTGGTTGCTTTCAAGTTTTGGCAATTACAGATAAAGCTGCTATAAACATTTGTGTGCAGGTTTTTGTGTGAACATTGATTTTCAACTTATTGCCAAATTATATGATAAGAATATGTTTATATTTGTAAGGAAGTGCCAAACTATCTTCCAAAGTGTTTGCCATATTGCACTCCCACCAGCAGCGAGCCTGAGATTCCTATTGCTCTACATTCTCAACAGCTTTTTGTGTTGGCATTGTTTTGGGATTTTGGCCATTCTAATAGGTGTGTAGTGGTATTTCATTGTGGTTTTAATTTGTAGATCCCTGATGACATATGATGTTAGTCATCTTTTCATGTGCTCATTTGCCATTTGTGTATCTTCTTTGGTGAGATATCTGTTCTGGTCTTTTTAAGTCAGATTGTTTGTTTCCTTGTGTGTATGTTCAGTTGCTCAATCATGTCCCACTCTTTGCGACCCCATGGACTGTAGTCCACCAGGCTCCTCTGTCCAAGGAATTTTACAGGCAAAATTACTGGAGCAGGTTGTCATTTCCTACTCTAGGGGGTCTTCCCAACCCAGGGATCAAACCTTTGTCTCTTGCATCTCCTGCACTGGCAGGCGGATTCTTTACCACTGCGCCACTTGGGAAGTCCTTTGTTTTCTTATTGTTGAGTTTTAAGAGTTCATTTTATGTTTTGGATAACAGTTCTTTATCAGGTGTATCTTTTGCAAATATTTTTCGCAGTCTATGACTTGATTTCTCATTCTCTTGACTTTGTCTTTCACAGAGCAAAAGTTTTTAATTTTAATGAAGTCCAGTTTATCAGTGGTTTCTTTGATGAGTCATGCCTTTGTGTTATATCTGAAAAATCATCACTGTACCTGAGTTCATGTAGATTTTCTCCTGTGTCATCTTCTAGGAACTGATGTCCTTTTGTTCCAGCCCCATTTGTTCGAAAGACTCCTTTCTCCATTGTAACTCTTTCTCCTTTGTTAGAGGTCATTTAAGTGAATTTGTGTGCATCTGTTTCTGGGCCATGTCTTCCCTTCCACTGATTTATTTTTCTGTACTTCTGTGAATAGCACACTGTCTTGATTAGTGAAGCTTATAGTAACTCTTGAACCTCGATAGGGTTATTTCTCCAGCTTTCTTCTTCCCCTTCCTTCAACGTTGTTTTAACTATTCTGGGTCTTTTCCCTTTTCACATAAACTTTAGAACTAGTTTGTTGATGTCCACAAAATAACTTTCTGAGACTTTAATTGAGATTATATTGAGTCTATAGATCAAACTGGAAAGAAGTGACATCTTGACAGTATTGTCTTCCTACCTGTGTATGTGGAATATCTATTTTTTTAGATCTCTGGTAATTCACTGAACTTTTTTTTTTTTTTATTACTGAACATATTTTCATTACCATATATCCAGCCCTACAGGACATGAAACTGAAGATAAACGATTTTTTCATTTTGTTATTCTTTAACTTAGTTTTTTGAAGTATAGGGGGTATAATACGATCCTGGCTGAGAGTTAATTTCCTTTAACTCGTAAAGGAAGATAGTATGGTGAACCTTTGCCTTGTTATAGTACATTAGTAATATATTAACTTTTTTTCCTCCATGATCAAAAGAAATGGTAGTTCAACCCTTATACCCTTAGAGAAAGGATTATTTTGAGGTTTTCAAGTCTTTAGACTTCTGCTTCTTTCCTTTCTTAGCATGTCAATATGGGACACAACTTAGTTCATCATATGTAAGCTTTGCTGTCTTCTACTGTGTGTGTGGGGAGGGGAGGCACAACTTTCTTTTCTTTTCAAGGAGCTTCTGAATTGATAGGGTATCTTGCCTGCAACCAAGACTAACAGTAGTATGCTATCTCACTGGCCGTATCACTTTATGCCTTTGAGTGTTGGTTCCAGATTGGTTTATTATTGTGATGATTATAATGGAGGATACATTTTTGTATGAAAATACTCTGTAGTCCAATCAGTGTTCTACCTATACCAAATAGATTGCAGTGTAGTATTGGTTTTTTTAGGGTGAGTTTATATGTGTGTGTGTGTGTGTGAAGGATAGGGAAGCCTGGTGAGCTGCAAAGAGTCAGACGTGACTTAGTGACTGAAGAGCATGTATATATATTTATATGTGTATATATTATTTGTGCTATTTACAGTTATATATATTATGTATACATATATGTGCACACACATGTGTATATTATTTAATTATACTATTAACATTTATGTTATTTACTTGTATATACATATATGTACACACATATTTATATATGTATCATACTATTTACATTTATATGTGTTTATTTGTATATACATATATGTATACATCTATATTTTATATATATTTATTTGTGTATACATACATGTACACAGACACACATCTATATTTATTTTATATATATACTATTTGTGTATATATATATATATTCACACACACACACATTGTTTATTTGGCTGTCCCGAATCTTAGTTGTGGCACATGGGATCTTTTAGTTGCAGAGTGTGGGATCTAGTTCCCTGAGCAAGGATCAAACCTGGGTCCTTTGCATTGGGAGTGTGGCATCTTAGCCACTGGACCACCGGGAAAGTCCCTGCAGTGTAGTTTTTTTAAGTATCAGAATTTTGATTCTAATAGTATCCTAATTACAGTTTGTTTTTTTTCCCTAGTGAAATACTATATGCAGTAAATAAGGTTGGCTGGCTTTCGTTAGGTAGTATCAAAGCTAATAATACTCTTTTTAAAAACTATTACAGAGTATTGAAGTGGGAGTCAAGAGATCAGGATTCTAGACTGTTGGTCTGGTTTTTCTGGATTTCATTTTTCATTTGGAAAATCAGGGAGTTAGATTGAGATGATCCAACTCTAACAGAAATGGTACCTTTTATCTAGTTTTTATCTAGTTTCAGCAAGTTTTTAACATTCTGCATTTGCTTTGTTATTCTCTTTCTTTCTCTGTGCATGTGTGGAGTGAAAGTCACTCAGTCCTGTCTGACTCTTGCGACACCATGGACTATGCCCATGGAATTCTCCAGGCCAGAATACTGGAGTGGGTAGCCTATCCCTTCTCCAGCGGGGTCTCCTGCATTGTAGGCAGATTCTTTACCAACTGAGCGAGCAGGGAAGCCCTTAAAAGTGAAAGTTACTGAGTCACAACTCTCTGTGGCCCCATGGCCTACACAGTCATGGAATTCTCCAGGCCAAGAATACTAGAGTGGGTAGCCGTTCCCTTCTTCAGGGCATCTTCCCAACCCAGGGATCAAACCCAGGGATTGAACCCAGGTCTCCCGCACTGCAGGCGGATTCTTTACCAGCTGAGCCACCAGGGAAGCCCTGCTTGTGTACATATATATATTTATAAGTATTTATAGATATGCATTTTATTTCTTTTTCTGAATCATTTGAGAGTAAATTGGAAACATTGTGCTCCCTTACCACTAAATATTTACATGTAATTTACTAAGAACACAGGCAAACTCTTATTTAATCACAACACATTTATCAAAATTAGGAAAATTAACATTGATACCGGATGCAATACTATTATCTATTCCAGAGTTCATATTCAAATTGTTCATTGTCCCTAGAATATACAGAAGTGGTTTTAGAATCACTAAGCTATACCACGGTGAAAGGCAGTCCTATATAACTAGAGTTCAATATTTACTTATAGTTTTTCACTTCTTTTTTAAATTTTTATTGTTTATTGTTTTTCTTTTTTTTTTTTAGTTTTATTTTTCTCGTTATTCTTCTTTCCTTTTTTTTTTTATTTTGAGGTAAAATTTGCATGTAGTGAAAAGTATAAGTGCTATGTCTGTAATTCAGTGAATTTGTGAAACTAATGTAACCCACACTCCTGTCAAGATCTGGTTTTATCACTCCAGAAAATTCTCTCAGTGCTCCTTATCAGATTCTATCCCACCTTCTTGCAGCCAGCCACTTTTCTGATTTTTTTCAGGTTACTTTTGCCTTTTCTGAAACTTGATGTAAATAAAATTATATAATATGTGCTTTTTTGTGTTTGACTTTTTTTTGGTCAACATATTATATGTGAGATTCATCCATATTGTATATGCTTTTTGTATCAATGCTTTTTTTTTTTAATTGTTGACTAGTATCCTGTTGCATACTACAGTTGGTTTATCCATTATCCTGTTGATGGACGTTTGAATTGTTTCTTGTTTGGTGCTAGTTATGAAAGCAGCTATTTTGAAAATTCTTATGCAAGTATTTT